TTGGGATTAAGACTCTGGGAAGAGAGCCCTCCTGCTGTGCTGTAGAGCAGGGGACGTCCCATAAGCGAGGCTAATCTCTATAAAAAGCTATACTTCCCCAAAGAATGACACAAGGGTGGTCTGTGCGTTCCCAGTGTCTTTTTCAGACAATGAACAGATTACTGAATCCACAAGTGACTTGCAGAAGTCAGAGGAGCAATGTTTTATCAAAAGAAATGTAGATGTTTCTTTGAATGTTTTGTGGAGGTCTTGTTTATTTTAAAGAAGCTGTACAGTAATAATGTTAAAGCGCTGGGCAAAACTGCAATTCAATGGAACAGATGTTGTGTATTTACTGCAAATGAGTGGAGAATATGTTCGTCATTCCATAAATATCTGAAATATCACTGACTATTTCAGTCATTTGCAATAAAATCCAGTGTAATCTGAATCGAATACATCGCTGCTTGATAAATATCTATCTCATCCTCTCCACTCTCATTACATTTTCTTTACGTCTTGCCTTATTCATGAGACTTAACTTTTTTTTTTTTCCAAAACAAGAGGGCAGATGGTCAATCATGAGATGGCCATCCCATTATTGCCATAATGAACATGTATATTGTTCTGTGGTACTTGTTCTCTTCAAAGCCTCTGATTCATTATTAAACTGTGAAAGCTAAACACCACGACTAGCAGAACAGATGGCCGTAAAATAAAAATGCAGATGTGGCAGAGCGCTCATTTACGGTCATCAAGTAATAGATACGTTATTGTTGAGATTGTAATTATGTTCTGAAAGGGTATGGGATCATCGGTCTCGGTACAAAATAACACTGGATGTGATGCAATGTGTCATGTGATAACGTGGAAAATGAAACGTTTAGAACCTCAGAACATCTGCGGCGAACTGAATGTAATTAATTGTGATGAGTTATGTGGTCAATTTTATGGTATTTTTGCGGCAGAGATATTTTCATGCTTTCACAACACATCATTTGGTGCTGTTACTCGTATTTCAGAGTACTGCATTTAGTGTGGTGTTTAGAGAAAGACACCGATTCAGTGATCTAGCATTACAATGTTGAAGTAGAATTAAGTGATATTTAACTTATTTGACAACTGATGAGAAAGTGCATATGTAACGCAAACATTAGGATCCATGGTGTTGAAGTTCTTTTCATTGGCTTTTGGTAAATTAAAACGTGTTTGTTCTTTCTTTTTGAACACTGTGTTTGTTAACCTATGCAAAACTTGGTCAGGAAAATACATCTCTGGATTAATAATTCCTCAGCACTCAAGCTCTTATTCTTCACTTGATGAAACTTGAATAGGAAACAATAACAGACAGCAGGAACTGTGGCTCTCAACCTCTTAAACTTTCATTTGTTACCGTCAAGCTGTCTTGACACTGTGCAAAGCTGGCATAAATAGAGATAATAAGCTCAGGCTCGGCTCAGAGAAACTGGGGAGTCAAATTGTTTTTGTTTGCCAGCCTCCGTGAATGTGTAAGAGTCAAGCTCTCACAGCAGGGCCCTCCAAACTGACATTCCCACTCAGCCTCAAATACAACACTGTCATATCAGACACAATAGGAAGCATATTGGATGAGTTATTAAACAGTAGACGCTGTGCTTAAGATCCAGAAACAGCCGTGCATGAGTCATCACTGTCATTTGTTTCAGTTGTGTTTGGTCTGTGTCAGCCGACAGGAAACAGTGGGGCCACTGTGTAATTAGTGTAATGAAGAGCATTAGTATTTGCATAGCGTACTTGTGCATACTTAATGGACGGATACCATATGTGAACATATATTCCATTTACCAGCCACACACTGGTGTAAAACTATCTTTATTAAATCTTAAACTTTTGGTGGTGCCCTGAAACCTTAAGGCACTATTTCTTCTTTAATCTAACCCTTAAGTTAATGTTTAACCTAGGTTGATTATGGAATTTTAATATGAATTAATTTATTAATAATAATTGTGACTTGAATAAACTCAACTAATTTAGATGTTAACACATGAAACACATTAATCCATTTATGTTGATTCAGAGATTCAATGACAATAGTAAATAATAAAATAATATTAATAATTATTAAAGTACTTAAAATCAGTTCATTGAGACACATGAATCACATTTTTACACAGGAAAAAAAAATGCTTCAGGTGGTAACATAATAAATTAGTTCAAGTCAAAATATTATTAAAATAAATGAATATTAAGTCTAATTAATTTGTATAGCGCTTTTCACAAAATGCATCATTTCAAGCAGCTTTAAAGAAAGTAAAGTAGTTTTATAATGTAGTTTTAAGAGTGTATTAGGCAAGAATGTAGTTGTTTAGACTTAAGATAAAATAGTGCCTATTCAAAACATGAGATATAATTCGTCTTGGGTAAATCTAACAGACAATCTTTGGTCTCATGAATCTATTCGTTGTTCCAGAGCAGTAGTATTTAGTAGTATTTAATAATAGTATGTGGTATTGAGAAACTCGCTCAAAGCAATTTAGAGATTCAAATATTTATCGGTTTTGTTCAAAGCAAGAGTAAGATTCGTAAAACGTATTAAAGGGGTCATATGATGCTGCTAAAAAGAACATTACACTCTTAAAAATAAAGGTGCGTCACGATGCCATAGAAGAACCTTTTTGTCTAAATGGTTCCATAAAGAACCTTTAACATCTGAAGAACCTTTCTGTTTCACAAAAGGTTCTTTGTGGCGAAAGAAGGTTCTTCAGATTACAAAAAGGTAAGAAAGAGATGGTTCTTTAAAGAACCTTTGACTGAATGGTTCTTTGTGGAACCAAAAATGGTTCTTCAATTGCATCGCTTGAAGAACCTTTTGAAGCACCTTTATTTTTAAGAGTGCAT